ATGCTCCCTGGCGGTTAACTCGCCAATCCATCCGACATTCGCAACCTCGCGACCGCGCCTTCATCAAATCACGACAATCGCGCCGCCCGAGCACTGGTCATCTCGCATCTCCTTTTCGACACAGCGACCCGGCACACCGCTCCCTTCCCCCAACAGCCTGCCCCTCCTCTCGTCGCCGTAGTCGCGCGTGCGTCCTGTCCTCCAGGCGCGCAACAGAACAGAACCGTGGCGGCGCTTACGATCCTGAGCCACGAGACCCCGCTGTCCGAACTTTCCCTCCAGCAGCATCTCGACATTGCCCCGGACTTGGCTGCTACCTATAGGCCGCTCGCCACGGAGGCGGACTCCGAGCCGGTGATGATGGCACAGCAGGTGCCTCATCAGGCGACGGATAAGAAGCGCGTCAAGGTCTATGAATTGCGTGACAATGACTGGTTTGATCGCGGGACAGGCTTTTGCACCGCAACCTTTGCGACCGTATGTGTTTAAATTTGCGAATCTTGCCCCGCTGTCGCGACTGCCTGGATGTCATGAAAATGGGCTGACCATCTCCTCTCACCATACAGACCGAAGATGGCCAGAAAGATCCGCGAGTCATCGTTGAGTCTGAGGACCAGCCAAACCGACTACTCCTAGAGACCAAAATTCAAAAGGAGGATGGGTTCCAAAAGCAGCAAGGTTGGTTGAACCGTCAATAGGCTCATCACAGACGTCATGCTAATAGGGTTCCCGTCTCATCAGAAACCCTCATCGTGTGGCAAGAACCCGGAAGTGGAGTGGATATGGCTCTCAGCTTCCAGGAGGCGGAAGGATGTGCTTTGATATGGTTCGAAATGATGCCCTGGACACTTTCTACCCCTTGCTATTAACTTGATGACTAACTTTGATCAGGCGATTTGTGAGCAATGTGCAACAGACGTTCCAGAATACAATTGCTGGCGACGACGGGCTTTCAGACGATTTGGCCATCGAGGTCCCCACGACAATCAACCTCCCTGCCGCGGAACTGGGCAACCTGCCCGAAATCGAGTCCGGCATGCGTATCATGAGTTCGAGTGCCAACGGCCGCGATGCGCTTGCCAAGTTCATCATGGCAGATGACTACATTGGCAAATTGATTCCCTTGGTCGAAATGGCTGAGGACCTCGAGAGTCTACCCGACCTTCACCGACTTTGCAACATCATGAAGACAATCATCCTCTTAAACGACACAACCATTATTGAGCACGCCGTATCAGACGAATGTGTCCTTGGTGTAGTCGGTGCCTTGGAATACGACCCGGATTTTCCTAGCCACAAAGCCAATCATCGACACTGGCTTGACAACCAAGGCCGATACAAGGAGGTTGTCCGGATTGAGGACGAGCAGACGCGGCAAAAGATTCATCAGACATACCGGCTTCAGTATCTCAAAGATGTTGTTCTTGCACGGATTCTCGATGACCCAACCTTTTCAGTTCTGAACTCGTTGATTTTCTTTAACCAGGTTGATATCCTCCAACATCTGCAGTCAAATTCCGAATTTTTGAACGAACTTTTCGGTGTATTCAATATTCGACGACCTGATCAGAAGAAGAGGAAGGACGCTGTTCTGTTCATCCAACAGTGCTGCGCCATAGCGAAGAACATCCAACCTCCAGCGAGGCAGTCTCTTTATAACAACTTCATTGCTCACGGCCTGCTCCAAGTTATCCACTTCGGGTTGAAACACGGCGACGTTGCAGTTCGCGTCGGCGCCACCGATATCTTGGTCTCCATCATTGACCATGACCCGCAAATGATTCGACAGACAATCTATCGCCAGATGCATGAGAATACACCGTCACTGGTCGACTCATTGATTGAACTTCTTCTTGTCGAGGTTGACTTGGGTGTCAAGTCCCAAATCTCAGAGGCTCTCAAGGTCCTCCTAGACCAAGGCATTCCTCCCCAAGGACCAGAGTTCGCTCGTATGAATGGTGAATTTCCTGGCCGGCCCCGGCCTCAACCTGCGGCGGATCCTCAACAGGAACTCTTCCTTACTCGGTTCTATGAACGATCTGCGCTGAAGCTCTTTAAGCCGCTGTTGGAACTCGAGAACAAGACGGGTTTGGAATTTTCAGTACAGCAAGCCTCCATGTTCACATATCTCGTCGAAATATCATGTTTCTTTATCCGTCAGCATCATAGATTCAGCAGATATTTTGTGATGAATCATAACATCATTCAGCGTGTTTCACAGCTTCTCAAAAACCCAGAGAAGTATTTGCGACTAGGTAAGATGCCTGAGGTGGACCGGGTGATTTGGCGACATGGAATTTGGACTAACATGCATAGTTGCCATACGGTTCTTCCGTAACATCATTGGAATGCAAGAGGAATTCTATATCAAGCAAGTCGTCGAGAAGCAGGCCTTGGGCCCTGCGTTGGAAGTGCTTGCGGAAACTTTGCCGAGAGACAATCTGCTAAGCTCAGCGTGCCTAGAGCTGTTTGAATTCATCAAGAAGGAGAATTTAAAGGACTTGGTAAAATATCTGGTAGCGAACCATAGGGACCTCATGACCAGTTTGAGCTACTTGACGACTTTCAAGGACATGATTGAGCGGTACGACCAGACGCAAGGATACACAGCCAATATGGACTACTTCCTAGAGGAAAACGACGAAATGGCCCGGAAACCCCCTCCCAATACGAGGTTGATGGAACACATCACCGTGGACCCAAGCGAAGAAGAGTACTGGAACACTTCAGACCCTGAAGATGATGATGAGGAGCACCGCCCGGGTATGCGCGACAAGATCTTGCCCAGCAATGGACCCCTAACGCCCTCCAAACCTCTTGTCGACTACGCATCGGATGAAGAGAGCGATGAAAATGTCAACACGGAAGGTGACACTGCTGCAAAAGCCAATAATGGCCCACAGGAGTCGGCAGCCACCGGAAGACCTGGCCTCCCGACTGTTGCGTCACCGCCTGAACGATTGTCCGAAAAACGCCGCCGTGAAGAGGATGAAGAGGATGAGATAGGGAAGCTTATGCATAACAAACGCCGAAACAGTAGTTCTTCCGAGTCGAATTTAGCGACGGGCTCGCGGATGACCCCTAAACGAAAGTCGTTTGGGGGTGGCTCTGGAAATGGCAAGATTGCCATAAGCCTATCGACGGCAGTGAGGACAGGGGGAGGATCAAGGCCAGATGAGGAGTCATGACTGGTACACTGGTACATGGCGTATTTCTCCAATTTTTACTTCCTTTTTTTCGGCGACGGCGTACGGGACGGTTGAGTGACGTCTTTCCCCCCCCCTCGCCTGCATGAGAGAGTCAAACCGGCATAGCCATATCGGGAACGGTCGGCAACGGCAATGAAAGGTCACGCGGCGTCGTCAATTCGACCTATGAGTGCACACTTATCATGGGATTGGTCGCAATATTCTGCGGCAGAGACGATCTTTGGGAATGGCAGAATCCCAGGGGTCTAGATTGAGTTTTGCTAAGAAATTAGACGCGATGGAGATGGTGACAAGGACTGGAATTGAGGGACAGGGGGTGTTTTCAATTTTAGGTTCTTCTTTTTTTTATTTTCCCTCCCTTCCCCTTTCTCAGCTATAAATATGAACGGCCATGTTGGAAGAGCTGGCATGAGTCAGCTGCAATGGCGATCCACGCAAATCAAGGAGGCAGGCATTCAGGTTGGAGCTCGAGGACATTTGGCGGATATGCGGCAGCTCCTAATTTATCATATATAATGAAGGGCTGGGTAAGACGGGGTAGTACAAAGGACATGCTGGGGGGGGGGGGGGGGGGGGGAATAA